GCCACAGTTACCTGCTCAACACCGCATCCCAGACAACTAACAGGCACATCAAACTTCACATGACCACAGCTGAGTGCCTCATTTCACCCCAGCTGAGTTTGCTGACTTCCCCTCTCAGATCAGATGGGTTACCCCCATCTTTCCAGCTGCCCAAGGCAAAATCTGTGGGGTCAATTCTTTCTCTCATCCCACGGCAGATCCACCATCAGCAAAGCCTGTTCGTTGAACTGTCAAAATCTATCCAGAATCAACCACTTCTCTCCACCCCATGGCCACCACCACGGATCAAGCCATCATCTCCCTCCAGGATTATTGCAACAGCCTCCCCCCAGAGCTTCCTACTTCTGGCCTGCCTCCCACAGTGTCCTTCACATAGCAGCCAGATGGACCCCTAAAACCCAAGTCACGGCACGTCACTCCTCTGCTAAAACCCCGCGGTGACTCCAGTCTCACTCAGAGCAAAAACCAAAGCCCTGAGAGCGATCTCCAAGTTCTGGACCCACCTGCTCCTTGACAACAATTCCTCCCCTCTCTTACCACTCACCCCCACCACCTTCTCCACCCATTCTGGCCTCCTCCTTCTCCCCTGACTGCTCCTTACACAGGTCAGGCACACCGCCACCTGGATGCCTGTTTCCTCTGATTGGAATGCTCTCCCCAGGCTTCCATGTGGCTCCCTGACTTCAACACCCCACTTGAGCTAAAAGTCTCCTTCTCAGGGAGGCACCCCCACTCCTGACATTTCCTTTCCCCACTTCTCCTGTATTTGTTTCTCCTTGACATGATCACTATCTAACACAGTACATGATTGCTTATTTATCTTGTTTAATATGTCTCCCCTACTACAGCAGTCCCCAACCTTTTTGGCACCAGGGACCAGTTTCGTGGAAGACAATTTTTCCACAGCCCAGGGTTGGGGAGATGGTTTTGGGATGATTCAAGTGCATTACATTTACTGTGCACTTGATTTCTATTATTATTACATTGTCATATATAATGAAATAATTATACAACTCACCATAATGTAGACTCAGCGGGAGTCCTGAGCTTGTTTTCCTGCAACTAGACGGTCCCATCTGGGGGTGATGGGAGACAGTCACAGATCATCAGGCATTAGATTCTCATAAGAAGAGTGCAACCTAGATCCCTCGCATGCGCAGTTCACAATAGGGTTCTTGCTCCTATGAAAATCTGAAGCCTCCACTGATCTGATGGGGGCAGGGCTCAGGCCGTAATGCAAGCGATGGGGAGTGGCTGTAAGGACAGATGAAGCTTCATTCGCTCACCACTGCTCATCTCCTGCTGTGTGGCCCAGTTCCTAACAGGGCTGGTCCCCAGGGGTTGTGGACCCCGCCCTACTGGAAAGCAAGCTCCATGAGGACAGCCTCCCAGATCCTAAAACGGTGCCTGGACTAGTAGGTGTTCAATAACTATTCACCCATCCATTCACCCTGTAGGCTAGCATGGAGCCAGCACCGGGGGGATACTGGAACCCAGTGGTGAGCCAGACACCGCCCCTGACAAGGACCATCCAGAGTATTACACACAGTGATAGGGAAGCCCAGAGTGCCACAGGAGCTCAGAGGAGGGAGAGATCAACTCAGCCCAGGGGGCTGGGGACAGCCATGCTGAGGAGGGCTTTACAGGATAAGTAGGAGTTCACTGGCTGGAAGAGACAGCTTCACAGCTGGCAGGTGCAATGGCTGGTATGAACACCAGGAACAAAAGAGTAGGATGTGTTCTTGACACAGGGGAGGGTACAAGAAGTGAGGCCAGTGGGCTGGGCAGGAAGTATTTGAGGGCCTTGGAGAGCAGGCCAGGGGGGTTGAGCTTCTCCCCGTGGGCAATGGTGGGCCACTGAAAGGGAGAACATGGCAGGCGTGTGGGTCTGGAGGCTCCCCACTCAGATGGCCAACACGCAGCAGCCTAGGCATGGGGAGAGGTGGGGTACGGGGCCCACCTATCCTGCGCCAAGGTAAGGCGTTGGAAATGCCCCCAAGTGCAGCCTCACCTGGGAAGTAGTTAAAGCTACAGTGTCATTATGGAGTGTCTAGTATGCCCAGGCCTGTGCTGGGAGGAGACCTTGGGGAATATTAAACCAAATAGTTTGCAACACAATGCCAGCCTGTGTGGATACAATATAGCCAGGGGACAGGAGTGCAGGGGTGGCACTATGGACTAAACTGTGTCCTGGCAAATTCATACGTCCAGGTCCTAACCCCCAATGAGACTGTATTTGGAGTAAGTAAGTAATTAAGGTTAAATGAGGTCATAAGGATGGAGCCCCAGTCTGAGAAGATTAGTGTCCTTATAAGAAGAGGAACCACATAACACTTGCTCTCTTCCCCCTACCCCTACCATGTGAGGACACAGCAAAAAGGACACACGTGAGGCAAGCCAGGAAGAGAGCTCTCCCTCTGATCTGACCATGCCGGCACCCTGATCTCAGACTCCCAGCCTCCAGCACTGTGGGAAAACATGCTTTCTGGTTCAAGCCCCCAAGTCTATGGTATGCTGTTGTTGCAGCCCAAGTGGACTAAGATAGATGAAGAAGTCAAGGAGAGCTTTCTGGAGGAGATAAGGTTTTGGGCTGTCATAGCAGAGAAGACAAGCCTGGGCTGACTGTACCTTGGACACCGCAGACCTGAGGCCAAGGTCCATCCTTCAACCAGCCCACAAACCCTCAGTGATTTCTTTAGGATTTAATTTCTCCATTGAGGAGCACAGGGGCAGTCCCCAGATTGATGGAACTTTGCATGTTGCATCAAGTCCAGGCAGTTCCCTGAAGGCATGGGTAGGGGGCTGGAACTTCTGGCTCCTGAGCACTGGATTCCAGTTTTCCCCTTCTGCCTCCAGCAAAGGTAACTCAGCCAGGCTGGAGCCAGCCGGGAATCTATGTGCAAAAGCCTCCCTCTCACCCACCTCCCACGCCTAAGGAGGCTGCTTGGAAGCAGGGATCTGAGCTGGGCTCTGAATGGCAGCAATGATCAGGAATGCAGTGAGAAGCTCTATAAATAAATATACATTTTCATAAGACATGTTTAATTAAAGTGGATTAAAATTAATTTGCTTTAAGAAAATTAGAAGTGCCCTAGAGGATTTCAGAAGCAGGCCAAGAGTCCCTGAATCTAAAGGCTCCTTACAAGGCTTGGGGGTGGGAGGCCCCCCAGTCGCTGCACGTGGTGCCCCAGAAGTAGACAGCTCACATCTACATCACACACCGCACTCCGTACACCACCAGGCGTGTTCACATGGAGATGGCAGGCGTGATCAGCCCCGTGTTTGCCAGGCGGAAACTGAAGCTCAGAGGGGGTAGTGACTTGTCCAAGGTCACACAGTGGTCTGTGGCAGGCCCAGTGGGGAGCTGCCGGTGTTTTCTGCCAGTGCTGGACATTTCATTCATGCTCCACACAGCGAAAGCCTCTCACCCTCAGGGCCCCTGGCCGGAGCTGCCACCTCCCAGGTTCCTCCCATCTGTAAAATGGTAGCCCTGGAGCTGTGACAATCTGGCTCCTCAGAGGCCCTGCACGGGAAGGCGGAGGGAAGCAGCCTGGGGGTTGGGGACGGGAGCCAGAAAGGGAAAGGACCCGAAATCAACAAGCGTTCCAGAATTTTAAGCAGTTTTTGGAGGAAAACGAGGAGCAGGTTCAGCTGTAGCAATTTGCTCCAGGGGAAAATTATGTTCCCGTGCTCTATTATACAGAACAGAAGGAACATTTGGTGGGTTGAATACTTGTTAATTTATTTCTCTGTTTGTTAATGGGCTCCACACGATGCTCAAGTGTGCGCACGCGTACACACACACACACACACACACACACACGTGCCTGCGTACACATGTGCGTCAGCAGGAGGTGGCTCCATGCTCCCACTCCCCTAGTTTTCCTGCCACCTTCCTATCAGGCACCACTCAGGGTCGTGCTTTCTCCGCTCCAGGCCAGGGGTCTGCAAGAAAGCCACGTGCAGTCTAAGGACTGAGGTGAGCCCCTCAGTGTCCTCATCTGAAAAATGGTCTGGCAATGAGATGAGTCGCATATTAGGGCAAAGCCTTTGACCTTGGACCAGAAGTGAGAAGGTCCCCGATGCTGACTGAAGGCCTGATGCTCCACTTGCATAGCTCACTGGCTCCTCAAACCCGGCAAGTCCAAACCAGAATGCCTGCACCTCCACCTGCGCCAGATTCCCCATCTCAGAAATTGGTGCCGCTCGGGCCAAACCGACTCCGCCCCAACCAGGACTCTCAGCCTTCCCATCCCATGACCACTCTCCAACCCTTCTCCCAGCCACCCACTCCTCGCCATCTGCACCACCACCCTGCAGCCATGACCCCACCTCTCTCCTGGGTCCCTGCACCCACCTCCCCTCAAGGCTCCCTGCTCTCCCTGCCACAGCCTCTAATCCATTCTCTCCACCCAGAGGCCAGAACAGAATTTGGAAAGCACAAATCAGGTCCCATCACTCACTGGCTTAACCCCCTCCAGAGCACACCCCTGCTCCTCAGCAGGGCAGCTAAGGCTCTGTTTCCCACCCCTGTCCCCGCTCTCTCCCTCACTCCCCACCCACCAGCCACGCTGTCTTCCTCCTGGTCTCCAGACATAGCCAGCTACTTCCCACTCCCAGCCTTTGCCTTGACATTCAGCCCCTTCAGCCTCAAAGTCACCTCTTCGGAGAGGCCTGTCTGGATGCCCATCGGAGCAGCTCACCCTGCCCCAGCCACTCCCTATTCCACAGCCGTCATTTCCCTCCCGGACTCAGCACAGTCTGAGGTTACTCAAATTACTTGTTTGCTGTGTTGTTGCTCCCTCAAGACGGGAGGCTACCTGGGGGGAGGAACAGTGCATAACGTTCTAGCTGCTGGGGATACCGCGCTTCGTAGGTGTTTCATCAGCACTTGATGAGTGGGTGAATGAAGGAGTGAATGAAAGGGCAGGCTGGCTCCAAGCCAGACGGGAGAGGTGAGAAGGATCAGGGTCCCCGTGCCCAAAGTCTCCTGCCCCTACCTTGGTAGGGCCTCAGCACCTCTTCCGCTCAGGAAAGGGAGCAGGTGGGGCCGACGTTCATGGAGGAGCATCTATAAGCAGGGCCCTTTTCTCTAAACAACTTCATGAAGCAGCTACAAGAAAGCAGAGAGCTTCACCTCTCTGAGACCGGTCTCTTCGTCCGTTTAATAGGGATAATCCCAGGTCCCAACTTCTAGGACTGCTGTGTAGATGGATGAGACTGTATCTCAAAACTGAGTAGCTGCTGCTGCTGCTAAAACGAATCCCATCTCTTACAGAGGAAGAAGCTGGAGAGATTGTGGGAGTTGCCTGGAGTCCCAGAGTCAGAAAGCAGGGAAGCTAGACCCAAATCCAGGCTCGCCTGACTCAGGAGCCAGTGCTTTTTTCTCTCTGTACTGGACCCACTCCAGCCGAGAGTGGGAGGTGGGATACAGGAAGCCTTTCTCCGTTTGCACCTCAGTGGTGTTCATTTATGTTCCTGAGCACAGACTGACTTTGCCTCGCCTTTCCCCCAGGTTTGGCACAGAGACACTAGGAAGCTGGGAGGGCTGGCCAGGGAGGACGGTGCTGCCCCCACCCCACTCATCCCCGAGGCAAGGGAACTGGGAAGGAGGCAGCTGCCCAAGCCTGGGACAGGTACACTGAGGCATGCTGAGAGCCAGTCTGTTAGCAGCCTCCTTTGGGTGGTCTGAGGTTGGGGGGACTGGCAGGCCAGGGTCTCCAGGAGATCCCAACAGGAAGAGTTGGTTTGCATAGCAGAGGAGGAGGAATTGCCCTCCAGCCAGCACCTTCCCCGCCCTAGCCAAAGGCACAGAGCCAGCAGGAGAGAGCAGAACTCAGAAGGCTGTGGGGCTCTAAGGACACATTCAGGGCCCACTCAGGCCAGTTTGTGAGGTTGGAAGGTTGTCACTGAAGGCCCAGAGGCTTAGAGGTAAGGCTGCCTTAGCAGAGACCCTGCCCAGCTCCCGGCTGATGAGGGATCATGCTGTAGGCAGCCAAGGTAGCTTCCCCTTGCAGCCAGTGCACATTAAGAATTATTCCTCTTGTGAGCAAACAATTTGTTACAATATCCACTGCGCACTTTTCCCGGCTGGGCGCCCTCCCATACATCCTGAATTAATCCCTGAAGTCACTCCATTCATTTAGGACATGCCTGAGTGTGCCTCTCCTTTTATTAGGGAAATTTTTCATTGTTTTGAGGAGCTCATAGGCTTTAATTTAGGGCTGAGATTTTAAAGCCTCTCTCAGTGGCTCAGAGGCATGAGTAGTCTTATATTTGGGAAGGCCCCCTGGGTTCCTAGACCTGGTAGGGCTTGGCTGGGGCCACCAGACCCCAGGGAGAAGGGATCATGGTACACGCCCTTCAGGGAGCCAGGAACTGCAGACCCCAGCGCTGTGTGGCATTGGGTCACACCCTCAACCTCTCCAAGCTTCCCTAAGAGAGGCAAAGCCAAGGAAGACTCCGTACTTGGGTATAGCTCTTCCAAGCCTGCCCAGGGAAGTCTGGGGTCATCACCTCTAAAAACCACAGCCCTGGGGAGTAGCATGGGGCCACTGAAAAAGCATGATGTGTAGAGTTCTGATTTGAAACACTGCCAGGGCAGGCCAGTCGTTTGCCTCTCCCAGTCAGGTTTCCAGCTCCTTAGAATGAGTTTAAGAGCTGGCTCCCTCTCCAGGCTGTCGTGCAAATTACACAAACCCAAGTTGGGAGGAGTCTGACTCAGGGCCTGGCACACAGTGGGTGCTCTACAAGGGTGAGCCTCCCAGCCCTCTCAGCTCATGCGGATCCCTCCCATATCTCCCTCTCTTGGCCCTCAAGCAGCCAGAGTCCCTGGTTCCTACATTTTGGCCAAAGGCGGCCCACAGGCTGATCTCCACAGGTGGGGTCCTGCCAGTTTGGGCAGCAGCCACCAGCCTCTTCCCAGGCTTCATACAGATCCTTGACAGTGCCACCTGAGGCCCTGGAGTGTGGGGAGTCCTGTCCACAGACCCTCTGCTAAATCCCGCCCCTCCCTGCAGCCCCCAGGTAGGGCTGTATGCTAGGATCCCGGCTGTTTGATGTCTCCCTGCCCTTAGTCAGCAGACAGTGGTCCCACCCCCAACTCCTGGTCCTCCACCCCCACCAGGGCTCCAGGGCTGGGACCTCTCAGGGCTCTGACCCCCAGTCAGCAGCAGCTCTCGGACAGCTCACACCCTGTCCCGGGCTTGCTCCTCCTGCCTGGTCTTTGTTCACATTATTCCCAACCACACACGCTCTCTGTCACTCTCTTCTACCCCCAGCTTCCCCAAATCCTCCCGAACTCTAAGGACCAGACACCTTCAGGAAGCCCTCCCTGACTTCCCCAGGTTTTATCTCCTTTCTCTTCCTGAGGCTCACAGCATTTCTCCTTGATCCGTCTAACTTCACATTGCTACCCAGAAGCAAGGACCACGTCACCTACTCATGATGTGGTGGCCAACCCCGGGCAAATCCCACTGTGTACTTAGGGAGGACAGACTCATTCCGTGATGTGGGGGAAGGGTACAGAGGATGCCACTGAGGGAGTACAACACCTCTGTGAGGTAGATATCATTATGTCCACTCTGTATATGGGAAACTGAGGCTAGGAGAAAGGAACCACTTGCCCAAGAAGTGGCTGGGACAGGAACACCAAACAGTGCCATTAAGACAAAGCCCACAAATCCAGGTTCCACGTGCAAGACCCACCAGCCCTGGGCCCAGCAGGTTCACCTGTGCCATCCCATCTGATCCTCACTGCTCCTCAGGGAGGTTACTGTGCCACTCGGGAGGAAAAAGAGGTCTAGAGAGGCTGAGTCACTTGTTCAAGGCCACCCAGTAAGTGGCAGGGCTGGGACTTGAATCCAAATTATTTCAGCTCTCACTTGGTCAGGGCAACCAATCAGGACACGTCGCCTCATCTCACCCACCACCCCTGGGGTCTGCAGGACCCATTCTCCCCTCTCTGGTGGCCCAGACTGCTGGATGGCCCCATCCCTGTCCCCAAGCCCAGGCCTCCGGGGAGTGCCTACTTGACCTTTCAGAGGGACTGGGCTCCCACAGTTCTGGGTATTTACACAGACAGCCTCGGTTGCGATGGCGCCTGGAAAGTAGGCCATGCAGAGGAGGGAGGGGATGGCAGGTGTGGGCTACAAACACTCCCGCCACCCTCCACGCTGCCTGGACAGAGGAGCCACCCTTGGCACCATCTTCTCAAATGACCTTGGCAACTGATAGGGCAGCCCCTATTGGGGCAGAGTCAAAGCGTGGGCTGCCCACTGAGGGGAGGGGCTTGGCCAGTGTCTCCAATTCCTCTTTGCTTAGTGACCTGCAGGGCCCTGGAGGACACAGGATGACAAGTCCTTTCAGCAAGAACCCTTCTCTGCATAAAGGGTCACCTCACTTCACAAAGCCTCCCCTTCCTCCTCTGTAAGGATGGTAGTGGCAGCTGCCTCTCAGGTGCTGGGAAGATGGGAAGCACCCAGCCAGGCCTGGCACTTTCAGGGTACTCTGCACACTGGTGAGCCCCACAGGACCTGAGGCTGAGCCTCTTGAGGGACATCTGCAGACACTCAGCTCCAAGTGGGACAGACCCAAGAGTCTCCCAGGAAACAAACTAGGTCACATCGGGTGGGGGTGCCCGGCTGAAAGGCTGGTAGACACACCCAACAAAACCACCCCTGTGAGAGCTGGGGCAGCACAGTAGGTGTGACATGGGGACCAGGGAGCTGGGCTCTCAGAAGCCAAGAGGATACTGCCCCCATCCAGAGCACATGGTCGGGCCTGCATCCACTGCTGCATACCATCCTTAGCAAATCCCAATTCACCCCTCCCACCTGCCCCCTCCTCCACCCTGGCTTGAGGGGAAGAGCCAGAGGAGTCTGGCAGGGTGCTCCCGGGATAGCTGAGTGTCAGGAAGTGGTCAGGCACTGATGAAACTGAGAGCCAAACAGGACAAGAAACAGCTGCAGGGAGCCTCCGGGAAGTGCGCAGATGCTAAGCACAGGGCGTGGGCCAGAAGGACACAGGGGTCCCGGTGGAGGACTCCCATGCATGCAGCTCAGGCTGGAGGCTGGAGGGGGCTTCAGGGCTGTGTGGGGTAGGGGTGGGAATAGTCCTCTCCTCTTGGCCCTCCCCATGCCAACCCCCTGCCAACTGCTGAGCGGAAAAGCATTCCACTCTGTTGCCACCCCATCCCACACGAGGCCGGCATGCCCATCTTCAGCGTCCCCACCTCCTTGCCGGCAGCTTAGGCTCCACTCCAACCCCAGCTCAGCCTTTTTATTATTCAGAAGAGCCTCTTGATTGAAAAGGCCTCTAAGGCATCTCACAAATAAGAATCCTTTAATTGGGAAGTTGTTAACTTCTCAAAGAGGAATTTTAATTTTGCTTCCTCACCATCTCCTCTCCCCAGAACCTACAGACTAAATGCAAAGGCTAACAAAGTCAAGCACCAGGCACCAGCTGCCAACCTCCCCAGACGTGGAGCTGTCCAGGGGCAGAGACAGGACAGGCAGCCTCTTGCCACCGCATAGAACCCTGGAGCCACACAGACCCCCGGTGCACCACCATGAGGAGGCTCCTGCCTCTGCCCATGGGCATGCCTGCTCCATACTCCTTACCACTCCAACCCACAGCGGGACACTTGGAGCGGAGGGCGGCAAGTGGATCAAAGACGAAGGCAATGCCAGTCCCGCCCTGCCCTGCCTGGGTCACCATGACTGCCAGGTTCTCAGAGCCCAAATTCAATGATTCAATGATTGCCCCCATAACCCCCCTGTGGCCCTCTATCATACTCCCCTGGACTGGTCACTCATATTGATCAAGCATTTACCATGTGCCAGACACGGCTCTAAGTCCTTTACATGCCTCAGCCTACTTTATCCAAGCAAGGTAGACGTTCTCATTATTCTCAGTCGACTGATAAAGAGACTGAGACCCAGAGGCCCTAGGGAAATTGTCTAAATTCACACCACTGATGCATAGCAGAGCTGCGACTGAGTCCCGGGAGTCTGGCTCCAGAGTGGTCATAACTTCAACTACCACCTACGCCTGCTGCCCCACCCATGGCCTCTGCACTCCTTGAGGGCCAGGACCAGGACCATCTCTGTGTCCCTGGGACAGCACAGGGCCTAGCATGCAGCTGAGCTTAATAACTGTTTGCAAAGTGAATACATGAAAAAAGAACAAAAACAAAGTACCTTCTTATTCATTCTCTCCTATGAGCCTAACCATAGGCTTGTGACAAAAACAGGCAGGCAGACTGGTCCCCAATTCAGTTCGGTAGACGGAGGCCCAGAAGTCAAAGCCACTACCCGAGGGCACCCTGCTAAGAGGCAGCAGAGCTCAGGGGGCTCTTCCTCCTACCCCAATGATGGGAACCTGCCTTTCACCCAAAGGATACAGGGATTGGACCACGACCAGTGCACACCATGTACCATGTTCCTGGGCCCTGATTAACATCCCAGGCCGAAACTGGTCTCAGGGAAGCCCTGGTCCTAGCCATGAGGTAGGAATCTCCTCTCCATGTCCCTGACAGCTTGGGGCAGCCTCGATACTCCTCCTGTGCAACCCATGGCATGAGATGCTCACCACCGCCAAGGCTGCCGGGGAGAGTTCACTGCTGTGAAAATCATAGCTCCAGTCGCCTGCTGTTACGGATTGAATTGTGTACCTCCAAAAATGATGTGCTTAAATTCTAACCCCCAATACCTCAGAATGTGATCTTATTTGGAAATTGGGTCATTTGAGACGTAATTAGCTAATTAGGATGAGGTCATACTGGAGTAGGGTGGCCCCTTAATTCAATATGACTATTGTCCCCATAAGAAAGAGGGATTTGGAGATACGGTCTAAATTGTTAAATACTGGCCGGGCGCAGTGGCTCATACCTGTAGTCCCAGCACTTTGGAAGGCTGAGGCAAGTGGATCATCTGCAGTCAGGAGTTCAAGACCAGCCTGGCCAATATGGTGAAACCCTGTCTCTACTAAAAATACAAAAATGAGCCGGGTATGGTGGTGCATGCCTGTAGCCCCAGCTACTCGGAGGCTGAGGCATGAGAATCACTTGAACCCAGGAGGCAGAGGCTGCAGTGAGCTGAGATAGAGCCACTGGACTCCAGCCTGGGTGACAGAGTGAGACTCCATCTCAAAAAATAAACAAATGGTTAAATAGTTAAATATAGTATGGAGAACAATTTGGCAATATGGCCATGTAAAGAGACACGGGGTAGCCATCTACAAGCCAAGGAGAGAGGCCTGAAACAGATCATCCTTCACAGCCTTCGGAGGCAACCAGCCCTGCTGACACCTTGGGGTTTGGGGATTTGGGGCTGTGGGGTTTTTTTGAGATAGGATATTGCTCTGTCACCCAGGCTGGAGTACAGTGGCTCAATCATAACTCATTGCAGCCTCAGTCTCTCAGGCTCAAGCAATCCTTCCACCTCAGCCTCCTGAGTAGCTGGGACCACAGGTGTGTGCCACCATGCCCAGCTATTTTTTGTATCTTTTGTAGAGACCATGTCTCGCCATGTTGCCCAGGCTGGTCTCAAACTTCTGGGCTCAAGCGATCCTCCCGTCTCAACCTCCTAAAGTGCTAGGATTACAGGCGTGAGCCACAGTGCCTGGCCCCTGAAACACCTTTGCTAGGCCGCTATAGCTAAGTTCCAGAAACTGGGTGGCTTAAACAGAAATGGATCGTCTCACATTTCTAGAAGCTGGAAGTCTGGGTGGTGTGGCCCCAGCCAGGGCCTGAGGGTAGGGGAGGAGGGTCTTCTGAGTCCTGCACTGCTCTGTGAGTTCGCTTCTTTAAGAGAAGACTAAGGAGGAACAGAAGAGAACAATGCCCTGGGGAGGCCCCAGGAAGGCAGGTGTGGAGGGAGGCAGGTCCTCTATCCATCCACCAAGCCACAGACATTGCCCAAATCCCCACCACATGCTGGGCCCCCTGCTGGGTTTGGCGGGGTAGAAAAGGAGAGCTTCTAGATGCCAAACATAGCTCCTGTCCCATGTGGACCCTAGAGCCAGCCATGGAGACTTCAGGGAGGCAGATTCAGCTCAGCCAGTATAAAGAGGAGCCATATAAGAGCTGCCTCCAGGGCCTGAGCTGCCCTGGAGAGAGTGAGGTCCCTGTCCCTGAAGGTGTGCAAGTAAAGGTCAGAGGACCATGGTCTCAGGGATACCTATACTCCCTCATGATGAGCTTGGGTTGGGCCAATGGGTCCCAACCTGGCTGACCATCAAAAGGTGGCTGTGGGGCTTGTGAACCAGGCAGATTCCTGGGTTCTCCCAGCAACCCTGGATCAGACGGTCTGGATGGACCCCAGATGATTCCTAATAACGTCCCTGGGTGGTCCCGATGCAGAGCCAGGCTTGGGCACCCTGGCCCACAGAGCACCATGGTTTGAATGGGATTCTGTTTGGGAAGACCTTTGACAACAGTACTTGAGGGCAGGGCAGCACGTAGATGGCAGACATGAGGGACAAGAGGATGAGGACGGCAAAGAGGAAGACAAGCTGAGGATCATGACATTGATGAGCTGGATGACCTGACAGGATAGCTCACCACAAGCCATGAGGCCTGGGGGAACAGGTAAAAGGCACACGTGGACATGCAGAGGCCGAGGGAAGCGGGGGGTCAGGGAAGACATTCTGGAAAATGTGGGATTTGCTGGTGGTTAAGAAAGCATTCTACATGGAAGGTGAGGCTGAGTGTGGTGTGTGGAGGATGGATGAGAGTAGCCTGTTGGAAAGAAGGGCGGGGAAGAAAGTATGGGCTTGAGGGAGACAATGAAAGGCCTTCTACAAGCAGGAGAAGGAGTCTGCATGTCAACCTTAAACAACAGGGAGCCACTGAAGGTTCTTGAGGGGGGACATGACCTGGAGGAAGGCCTGTAGTAGTGACCACTAGTAGGGCTCAGAAGGGCCTGGGTTGCTCCAGACTCACCAGTTAAGAGTCCCTTGCAAGAGAAAAGGGTGAGAGGATTAGGCCTAGTATCAGCACCACACTTCCTGCCGACAGCAGCCCTGACAAGCATTACAGAATGATGGTGCCAGCCATTAGGCCACTTGGGAGGAGCAGCTGGGAGGGTGAGCTGGTAGCAGTTTCTCCAGGCTGGTAAATCTGGGCACCTTGTCTGCAAAGCTAGAGTAACAGCCCACCCATAAGCAGAGAGCTCCCCAGGGCTGGATTCACCCCAAGCAATGAGGCCCAGATTTCTCCTCTACATCATCTTGTCCAGGCTCAGAGGCTTCAGAAACCACCCAGATACTGACTCCCCCCACAACTGCCTCTCCAGCCCAGCTCTTCCCACAGCTGCAGGCTTTACTGTCTATGTAGCCTCCCCACACGATGCTGGCACCTCAAACACTTGCAAGCAGGATCTTGCTTTTCCCTCCAAACCCACCCTCAACCCCTGTTCCTCAGCTCGGGCCAAGGCTCCAGTGCCCACCCCGTTCCCAGGCTGGCCCTCTCCCAGTCCACAGCTCATCCTTCAGCAACCCCTTCAAAGTCTCCAAACACAAGCCCTCCTCCCGCCCAGGCCCAGCCCCACCATCTCTAGTCTGGACTGATGCCGGGGTCTCCCATTGGCTTACCAGCTTCTACTCTTGCCCACCCACCCTATAGTCCTTTCTCCAGTAGGCATCACTCTGTAACTCCGGGCCCTGCTCAGCCCCTCTTCCTCAAGGGCTGCCCAGCTGTGAGGGCCTCTATGCTGGTCCCAGTTCAAAGCCCATCCAGAGCTCCATAGGGCCTGCTCCC